CCCTCCAGATCTGGTCGGCAGGGGCGATCCGGAGTTTCAGGGGATCCGGCCCAGGAGCGAGTGGGATCCGGCGGTGCTGTATTATACATCGGGAGAGGGGATTAGGCAGAAAATTTGAGAGAGAACAGAGGCGGTGGTAGGCGCAGGGAAGCGGAAAGTACAAGAGTCAACATCACTTCGGCTATCGTAAATTCATGTCTATGACGGCAGCTTTCGTGTCGAAAGCATGGCATCTCGTCGACGACCAGAACAGGAGCTCGGCCATGGCTGTCGCCGGCAATAAGTCGCAGGCTTGGTTAGACGTGGAGTCACCGACGGCGGCTCGGCGGTGTATTGGTTCAGGGAAGTTAAACGATTTACGTTACCGCAGTTTTTTTATTATTTTAGCATTTTCTTAGCTTTTTGGTAATAGTATTTATTTTTTTCATTTAGTATTTTCTTAGCCTAGGGAAGTTGAAAGGTTTTCTTGGTTTCTTAATTTAGTATTTAATTAGATTTGATGGTTTAGTTTCTAGGAAGTTATTAGGTTATCAGTATAGTTGTTAACTTTTTCAATCCTTTTAATGGCCTTTAATTTTACGAAAATCCGCCTTTTGCTATTTCAAAAGTTTCCGCTCATTTTTCTAAAATTGATTATGATGGTTCCTTCATTTTCGTCCGTTTTATTTTATTGCTTCTCTTTTACTATACTTAAAAAAAATATTAGTTTGACATAGTTCTCAATTCGGAGTATCCGACTAAGCCTTGCTGGCTTGTTTAAGTTCATTTGGTGGAGCTTAGTTGGGCTACGGTGGGGCCTCTTGTGTGTTTGTTTGTTTGTTTTTTTGTAGGGGTACGCAGAAGAGCTCCCGATATCGGAGAGACTTCCTCAGTCAGGTGACTTGGCTCATGATCGGGATGGAACTATCTTGCAGGATACTCAGAACTTGGATTTTCTCTTTAGTTGGGTTTCTTACTGTTTTGTTCTCTGTCGTCTCATTAGGGCTGCCCATCATGTGGCATAAAAGGCCCTCTCATCGGGAGTTCGACTATTGGTCGACTCCCGCGCTCTTTTTATTTTCTTTGTATGTCTGAATTTATAACAACTGACTTTGCGAAAAAAAAAAAAAAAAAAAGGTAAAAGTAAAATCACAAAGGTTTTCATTAAAAAATCACAAAGGTTCAATTTCAGGTTCATGCTAATCGAACTGAAACCGGCAGCATGTTTTCCGGGTTCGGGTATTCGAAACCCACAAGATGCAGTTTCGGGTTGCATGTAGTGGCAATTACGAGTTGGTTTTTTTTTTTGGACTTCGGGTTTGGTTATCCGAACCGAACCGATGTACACCATTATTCCAAACTCAAGTATTTTGGATTTTTTTTTAAAGTGTTGTATTGTGAGAATTAATTTTATTAAATTCCTGTGTTTTGGAAATTTTACCTAAAAAAAATACCAGATTCAAAACTCTACTATTTTCTCTACAGCTTGGCACGTATCGCTGGTCCGCTGCAGAATAACAATGTACATAGTATTGTTAGAGAGTGGTATAAGATCCAGCATAACCTTCTCCCAACAACTCTAGTTATTGGGAGCAACTGGTTCATGACATGGTATCAGAGCCTAGAACCAAAAGGTCATGTGTTCGAATCTCCACGACCCCCAATATTAACCGTTGTCTTTCAAGCACATGGTATGGTGGGCCTGTGCAAACTTCAAGCCCGTGGGTTGGCTTTCGTTTGAGGGGGCGTGTTAGAGAGTGGTATAAGATCCAGCATAACCTTCTCCCAACAACTTTAGTTATTGGGAGCAACTGGTTCATGACAAGTATGGCATGCGTCGCATAGCACGCGCCTGATCTCATCACTACAATCTCATTGATTCCACTTTCAGTTAGACAATACTATTCAGAACTCACCACCTCAACCATGCATCCTTGTAGTTTCCATGACTTTCACCGTGTATATATATATATAATTATATATATGTCCACCTCTCTACGCAAATCAACACAGAAAAAAGAATATGGCGGCAGCTACGGCGGGCTTGGACATATTGGGGACCCAGATGCCACTGCACTACGACTTCCACGTCACCGCCACGGTGAGCCAGGTGAAGCAAACGATCTACCTCCGCCACGGCCTGCCCATCTTCCGGCAGACCCTCCGACTGCTCCCCGCCGGGAGGATCTTGCACGACGACGACACGCTGGCATCCTACGGCATCGCCGAGGGCATGAACGTGCAGCTGCTGCTTCACGTGGCGGCGGGCCGGGGCCCGGACGTCCCCATCCACGTGGACTTGCGGTCCCCACAGTTCCCCAAGTGGCAGGCCACGGTCCGCTGCAGAGAGACCAGCACGCTGGCCGAGTTCAAGAGCCTGGCCGCCGAGGAACTGCGCTGGGCCGGGCCGGAGGGGATGGAGTTGCATAGAGGGCCGCACGTGGGCCGACTGGATCGGGAGGAGAATTTGGGCAGGCCCATTCGGGAGTACTTGATTATGGATCGGACCGTTGTTTGGGTCAAGTTCACGTCCAATGTTCCCCAGAATGGTACGCGGGCACCCTAACCGCAGCCATCGTGATATGAGTTTATAGAGATACATAGATGCATATATTATATGCAGGATTAATGCATGGTGACGATGGTTAGGTTACTGGTTTCCTTGGAGCTGGCTGGCTACTGCCTACTGAATGTTGTTATGGACTTACGGTTTGTATTGTTATATGGAGTAGTTGTTGCTCTGTTGTTATGGACTTATGGTTAGATTATTTTATTATGCGCGGGATTACCTATGATTCCACTGAAAATAATCAATCAAAGCATGTACGCCTTTGATAGAAAAAAGGGTTAATACCTTATTTTGGCCCGAACTATGACCATATAATCAACTTTGGCTCGTGGTTTCAGAAATTAACATCCTGGCATCAACTATGCAGCATATAGACTCAATTGGCCCGACACATAGTTTGACCGTCAATTTGGACGGTCAACTCCATTGACCGTTAGTCAACATGTCATGTCATTGCCTAGTAAGCCTAAAAATCATTAAAAAAATTTAAATGCAAATTATTTTTCTAATTTTTCTTATTTATCATTTTCCAATTGACCAAAAAATAAAATTCTAAAAATATAAATAATTTTTTTATGATATCTTAAAATGATAAATTTTATAAGTTAACCAAAAATTATGAAATTATTTTATATTTTTAAAAATTCCCACAAAACTATAATTTATATCATAATTTTTAAATTTATAAAATTTAATTTGATATTTTTTGGTCAATTGGAAAATGATAAATAATAGAAATTAGGAAAATAATTGGGTTTAATACCTTATTTTGGCCCGAACTATGACCATATAATCAACTTTGGCCCGTGGTTTCAGAAATTAACATCCTGACCTCAATTATGCAGCATATAGACTCAATTGGCCCGACACATAGTTTGACCGTCAATTTGGACGGTCAACTCCGTTGACCGTTAGTCAACATGCCATATCATTGCCTAGTCAGCCCAAAAATTATTAAAAAAATTTAAATTCAAATTAGGAGGCAAGAGAAGAAACCAAAATGGACTGTTGAGTACCATTTAGGGAGAGAGGTGTACAGTGAAATTAGGAGGCAAGAGAAGAAACCAAAATGAGCTGCTACACCAGTTACAAATTGACATTGTAACTCTGCTTGGTAGAGAGTTTTTGAGGAGTTCTTGACTTGAATTAGATTGATAAGATTCTGATGTATATATTACCCTTTGGTAGTTTGCTTTTAGTTTTGTTAGATTTCGCAGTCTGATAATGCTTCATAGTTCTTGTAATGAGTTTCTTTGCTAGGGATGTTGCCAAGACGGTAAACCTCATTTTGATGATATACAGCATACTAAATTACCAATTCATAAATAAAATAAAAATAAAAACAATGTGTTAATTATTGAAAATAATTCAAAATATTGTACTTATTTTTAAATCATGAATAATTTTTCTTTAGAAGACCACATATTGCAGTTAGAAAATGCATTCAAACAACCCAATAATAGAGGGTGGCCAATCGGTTACCGGTTAACCGACCTGTTGCAACCGAAATCAGCCGGGTATTCACTAATCGAAAATCGAAATTACCGAAATCGATCGGTAGTCTAAGGGATGGGCGAGATGCTTTTGGTCTTGTGGGCAAATCGGTTAACAGAAATCTGAGATAAACCAAGCCTTAATCCTTCTTTTGGTCGGTAGTCGATAGGATTGTGAGGTGGTTCGGTTAATTGATAACCGACCCTTATGTTTTCGGTTATAACCGAACCTATCAACCCTCCAATGTTGGCCAATATTTCTACAATCAAACCAAAATATGAAGAACTTGAAAAATAATATTAAAACCAAATAAAACTTCACCCTTCAGGTCTCAAATCCTTAAATAGAATTCCTGCAATTTTGAAAACTATGATCATAGAAAAAGCGACTTAGTGTTGTCGCTACCAACCTCCTCTACAAGTTTTGACGAACTAATAAAATCGTAAATGACTTTTTTTTACGAATAAATAAAAAATAACTATTTGATAAGATATAATAAAATTGATATCACATGAATGTTGCTTACAAGTTTTTCTGAAAAATGTCTAAAAAATGATCTTACACAAAAAAAAAATAAAAAAATAAAAAAATTGAACCCACATTACCCGAAATCCTTACTATGCTACTTAGCACAAAATAACACAAGCTAATAAAAGATTGATATCGACCACTATCCTCCATGGAAAAAAATCATTCACTCATACTTTTCCCATTTCACATCTACAGCATAGTGAAATATAATATTAGCTTGGCACCGTCTGATAAACAAGAACGACACAATATGCATGCATGCATGCAGATCTCATCACGACACACCCATCGCCCATCAGTTCCATTTCGGTTAGACAATACGATTCTAGCTAGCGTTTAAAATTCTTGCATTTTCCATGACTTCGTTACATATATAAACACACACACATACCAATCATTTCTTCACACTCAAAACATATATATATATATATATTCTGCCCGTATACTTACCGACCCGAACAAGATGCCGGCGACGTTGAAGATATTAGGAACGCAGCTGCCGATCTCCTTCTCCCTGAACCCGCAGCAGACGGTGGGCACCGTGAAGCAGCTGATCCGGACCCACTACTCCGTCCCCGTCGACAGGCAGACCCTCCGGCTTCACCACGCCGGCGGACAGCTCATGTCGGACGACCAGACGCTGGAGTCCTACGGCATCACGGACGGCCAGCACGTGCACCGGCTTACACTGTCGGTGGAGCCCGGCCCGGACGTTCCCATCATTGTGTTGCTGCGATCTGGGCAGCCGCAGTTCACCAGGTGGTGGGCCGAGGTCAGCTGCAAGGAGACGACCACCTTGGCCCAGTTCAAGCGGCTTGTGGCGGACCAGCTGCGCTGGGCCGAGCCCGACGGGATGGCGATCTTTAGAGGAGGGCCCGGTGGGCGGATTGACGAGGAGGGGAATATGGGCCGGATCATCAGGGAGTTCTTGATTGTGCACGGGACCATCCTTTGGGTTGAGTTTAGCACCAATGTTCCCCAGAACGGAGCCCGGCCTCAACAGCCACCACCAGCAGCGGCCAATATGTGACGACTAGTATTATATGCTCTTTTGTTATATGTTTTTTTATTCCTGTGGAGCCTTGCTTATCTTTATTATTCTTGTTTTGTTACTACCATTGAATGTAGTATTGTCGTGATTGCTGTTTGATGTTAGCGATTGGGCCGATGAAATGGGGAAAAGTTAATCTGCTAACTTGAAAATTCGTTAGCAGATACTAACTGATATCCAAAATATATGAACTAGTATCCAAGTATTAAAATATCCAGAGAACACAGACTAGTATTCAAAGTTTGCTAACTGATATCCACCATGAATCAACTATCATCCCAAATTCACAAACTAATATCTAGACAACACAGAATAATATCCATACAACACATAATTAGTATCCAGATAACACATAAGAGTATCCAGATAACACATAATAGTATCCATATTAAATACTAGTTGGTTGATTGTGGATATTAGTTGGTATCTGCTATCTGGATACTAGTCTGTGATGTTTAGAATACTAGTCTGTGCTATCTAGATACTCAGCAAACTTAGATATTAGTTCATACATTTTGGATATTAGTTAGTATATACTAACGAATTTTCAAGTTAGCAGAATAACTAGGCTGGATGAAATGTACTGCTGTGTGTGATCAAAACATATATAATATTTTATAGTTTTCCTGATGTTCACATTTTTTTGTTAGAGATTTTTACCACATTACTGAGTGATATTCCAATTAATGGATAACATCAACATAAAGAACTAGCTAGTGCATTTCAATAATTTATTTGTCGAAAACATCAAAGTTTTGATATATACATATCTACGGGTAGCTTATTTGTCAGAATATGCAATGATCAAGAAGCATGCATCACGTTGATCCAAATAATCTGTTTTGAAATTAAAATTAGTTGTTTGGCAGTAGTGATCTCTAATTTACTGTCCATTAAAATTAGGATTCATGTTGTAATTTACCCTCTCTCCACGTTGCATGTGTTTTAGGAGAGATAGGGTTGTTTTAGTTTAAAACTCTCGGCTAGGGCAGCAGCCGAAAACAAGAAACAGAAAAGAAGAAATAAGATTTCAGCCCGAGAGCCTCAAGCTCTCCGTGGAGTAGTCCCGTTCACATCGAACGGAGAAATCACGTAAATCGCGTGTTGTGTTCATCTTTCCCCTTCTGTTTCATCGATTTTTACATGGTATCAGAGCTGGTCTGATCTGCCCTAGTTCTACAACATGTCTGACGACGAGAGCTCCAAAACCTCGGAGTTCAAGTTGAAATCGGCGGCCTCCTTATCAATGACGCTACCGCCGCACCTTCTCCTTTACCAGTCCGACAGCCCCAGTCACGTCTATGTGAGTGAGCTGCTTAGTGACGTAAACTATGGCGAGTGGGTGGTGGATTTTACCGATTCGCTCATCGCCAAGAACAAACTGTTTCGTGGATGGAAGTCTTCATGCGGCCCAATCTCAGGCTGAAACTGAGGGCGTTAAGACAGTGTAACGCGATGGTCAAGGGATGGCTCAAAGCCTCCATGACAAAAGAAGTTCGTACCAGCGTGCGTTTTGCGGCCACAACAAGGGAAATTCGGGTTGATTTGCAATCCCGATTTGGCCAGAGTAGTGCGCCACACTTGTATGAGCTGAAGGGAACGATCATCTCACTCCAACAAGAAAAGGCGTCGGTTTCAGCCTTCTACACAAAGCTACGGGGGCTGTGGGACGAGATTCAATCCCTCACACCCTCACTTGAATGCACGTGCTCCAGCTGCATCTGCGATATAAAACGTCGGCAGCGTGAGGTATGTGAGAGTGAAATACTTTTTGACTTTCTCATGGGTCTAGATGATGCTTTTTCAACAGTCAAGTCACAAATATTGGCAATGAAGCTGATACCCAACCTTGGAGAAGCGTATCAGTTGGTAATGAATGACGCACAGCAGCGAAAACTTTCCAGTAGTCGTCGGCCCAGGCCCGAGGCCGCAGCCTTCCAGGCTCAAGGGGAGCGTCATCAAGAACGCTCTGATCACCCGTCTCCTCGGCCCGACCGTGAAGCGGATGACAGGCCCCGCGGTTCGCATTGCCGGCGACGCGGGCATTCTAAGGAAACCTGCTACCAACTCGTGGGTTATCCTCCACGTGGGTCTCCTCGGCCAGATGGTTCTTCGTGTGGTGATTGTGCTCTTTGTCTGACGCCGCAAGCAGCACAGGTCGACGCGACAGCAAGCCCACTACCAGGACTCACAGCGGCGCAATTTGCAGCTCTCAAAGCTCTCTTGGGTTCCGATTTGGCCCATCCTGCCTCGGCTTCGATCGAGCCTTCCTCAAATATGGCTGGTACGTCTTCTCCCTACTCTCATAAACTAGCGACATGGGTTATAGATTCTGGTTGCAATGAGCACATAGTCAATGACATTTCTTTATTGTATGCCGAGTTGGATGCCTCTCCAACATTGCAGGTGAAAATGTTCAATGGTACAGGGGTTAAAGTACACAGTATTGGTTCGACACAGCTGTCGAATGATTTATTATTACGTCGGGTTCTACATGTACCCGCCTTCTAGTGCAATCTCCTCTCGGTTAGCAGGCTTATAGCGGACCTACCTGTAGCATTGATATTCTTGCATGACTTCTGTGTAATCCAGGACTTACTCTCGAAGAAGCTGATTGGGATGGGTAAGCACGTGGATGGCCTCTACTATCTCCGATTGTTGGACAGTGCACACCCCATGGCAAACACCGTGCAACGGTTGATTGATGGTTCCAGGATGTGGCATTCTCGACTCGGGCGTCCATCCTTGGTGAAGATGAATTTATTAAAGCATTCCCTTGGTTGTTCTTTTATTCACACTGAAGAACCATGTCGGTCTTGTTTGCGTGCTAAGCAGACTAGAGAAGTTTTTATTCCCAATACTATCAAGTCCACGTCGTGTTTTGAACTAATCCATGTGGATATTCGGGGCAGTTATAGAACATCTTCAACTTCTGGAGCTCATTATTTCTTGACAATTGTTGACGATTACAGTCGTGCAGTCTAGTTTTTTTTATGAAGTATAAGTCGGACGTTGGCCGTTATTTACTATACTTTTGCAATATGATTGCACGCAGTTTGGAGGTCAGGTACGGCGCATACAGGCAGATAATGGCCCGAATTCTCCAGTAATTCGTTGGTGGCCTATTATGAAGAAAATGGCATCGTTTTACAAACTACTTGCACAGATACTCCTTTGCAGAATGGAGTTGTAGAGCGCAAGCACCGTCATTTACCGGAAACTGCGCGAGCACTACGATTCCATGCGAATCTGCCTATCCAGTTTAGGGGAGAGTGCATTCTCACGGCAACTTATTTAATTAACCGAATGTCGTTGACTTCCATAGCGAATAAAACCCCATTTCATGTCTTGTTTGGCAAGGACCCCACGTACAGTCATCTGCGCAGCTTGGGTGCCTAGTTTATGCTCGGGACAATCATCAGGGCCTCCATAAGTTTGGCGAGAGGGGGAGAGAAAGTGTTTTATGGGTTATCCTTCTGGTCAACGTGGTTATCGAGTGTATGATCTTGAGAAGAAGCAACTCTACACTTCCCGTGACGTCAGATTTTTCGAGAATGTCTATACAAAACAGCTTTCACAACTTGAGCAAATGGTAAGGAAAATGGTTGTCGAAAGCTTTGGGATTGAAAAGAACGTGGATGATATGTTGGTATTATGCCTCAAATTAATTGAAAATTTTGAAGTTATGTGAGTTATTATTTTAATTAATTAATCATTTGAGGTTTTGCTTGGATTAATTAATGAGTGTTGTTTATTAATTATTCCATTAACATCTCATATAAGTCACTTTACAATGCTAAAAATTGAGCTTCTTTGTTGTTGGAGCGACATATTGGTTCTTCCAACTCTTTTATTCTCATAAAATATTTTCTTGAATGTTTTTTTTATGTTGGGAGTTTTCTACTTACTCTACAATTTTGTACTGTGAAGATTTTTTCTTGATCGTAGTGGATTATTGACTTGTCTAGCCCATGGTTTTTCTACCTACACATCGGAGGATTTTCCATGTAAATTTGATGTCTTGTCTTTGTTCCTACTCTTTTCTATTTTCATTTGATTTTAATTTTGGGTTTGCTTCTGCTAGTTCTCTTTCAATAGTGGTATCAAAGCATTGAAAACCAATTGAAATCCTCAACAAGGTAACTGCGAAGTTCGATATATATTGAGAAGTTTGATGACAAGATATATTCTCTATATGGAGAATTCAAATGAAGCGGATTTTGATGCAAAACGGGGTTCACTACAAAAAAATGGAGATTTGGGGACGACAAAAGTCGTCCCCGGAAATAGGAAAAATCGTCGCTATAAATGTTGGGGATGACTAAGTCGTCCCCAATTTTTCGTCCCTTATACGCTTGTCCTCTATTCTTTTGGGGACGACAAAAATCTAGGTCGTCCCGAATACTGGGGACGACAGTCGTCCCCGATACTCACGAGTTGTTGTCTCGTGTCATTCTATGAAAGACAACATGTCGTCCCCATAGCCACGACTTTGGTGACAATAATTCGTCCCCTAAACATTATCTGTAGGTATAGGTGTCAAAACATAGCCCGACCCGATTAACCCGCCCGATTAACCCGACCCACAACACGACTGCAACCCGAATTGACTAAAAGTCAACAACCCGTAACCCGCCCGACCCGCAACCCGATTGACCCGCAACCCAACTAACCCGCAACCCGACTGACCCGCAACCCGATTAACCCGAACCCGATTGACCCGCAACCCGACTGACCCGCAACCCGATTAACCCGAACCCGATTGACCCGAATGTGAGTAACCCGTAACCCGACCGATTCAACCCGAATTTCATCTAATCCACTTGAATCATTATAAAAATATACAATACATAGTTTTTCAATGTAAAATTTTTCATTCTAAACTTAAGTAAAATTATTTTTTCGTTTCGTATAGGAAATTTAAAAAATATGAAACTCACTTGATATTACGTATTTTAAGAAAATTACAAAAATTGAAACATGAAGGTCACTTGAGATCATGACAATATTAATATAATATATAAATTAAAATTTTGGTTAATTTAACTATTCAATAAAATTATCAATTAAATATAAATAAA